GGAATGTTGGAGAGCTTTTCAACTATAGCTGGTGGGAATTTATTGGTGTGAATAAATTATTAGTCTCAAAGTGGGTTCCTCGTCATCGAATATGTATACATATATTTACCACAGATTACAGAACATTGTGGTAAATAAGATATACAAGTAACTGAAAACAAGAACTATTCATATATAAACTTATAATTTATTTGTTAAAATTTAATGAAAACAGCAACCTAAAAGGATTACACATATTGTTTGGAATGACCATTTACAGGTTTTTCAAATTTCAAGTAAATCAATGCAGCAAGACTCCAGCCCAAACTATTTTGATTCTCTGTTTGGACCTCTACTATGAAAGCTAAAAAAAAATTTAACAAAGATACTTATTCTGAATAACACCTTAAATGAAAATGCCAGTTTTCATGTAAATTAATGGAATCAGTCCTGTGAGCACCAAAACCCCCTGGACCCACATAAAGGGGCTAAAATTTGAAAAGTTTCAAAATATGGATTTATATTATTGTTTTAAATGGTCCCTTAGATGTTAACACCACTTTTTAAGCAAATGAGATCATTGGTTCATTAAATCTAAAAGCCTCCAAAAACTCTTACCCTGGCAGTTCAGGAGATTTTCATCACTCTCTACAAAACTTTGGTATGACTTCAGATGGAGTAGTACGTTCAGTTTTCGGTTCCATTATTAAAAAAGGGATACTTAATTACTTGAAAAAGTTCAGAGACAGGCTAACAAAATGATTCCTGCTTTGTGGTATTTAAGCAATGAAAATAACCTCAATGTTTTAAATTTTTCTCTGGGGAATAGAAGAACTGGAGATGACCTGATTCAAGCTTTTAAAAATCATTAAGAGCTCAAATAATCTGCCCATGGAGGGGTAGAAGGATAAAGTTGGGGAGGAAATCCTGCATATTAGAAAAAATAAGTATAACCAGGACCAGTCTGGTTGTTTTCCCTGTTAAGAATTGTTACCTTGTGTGATAATTTTACAAATGATGTGGTATGTGCACTGGTGGTCTGAACTTCCTTAAGGTTTGGTTGGATACTTTCATGGGTGTGAGAAGTTATGTTTAGGATTGGGTAGTTTTTTTTGCTGAATGACCTTCTGTTATTACCCAGTTGTTTCTTATCTTCTAAAATAGCTTTAACTTCTATTGCAGTATACATTTAGAGGACCTCTGTGTATCCCATCTGTGCATAAATTTATTTAACTCCTAAAGTTGAATTTGAAATTATCCATCATTAGTTATCAAAAGCTCTATTCTACTAGGTGATATTGTGTTACGACATAATTGGTCATTCAGCCCTACTTGGTACATATGGAAAGAAATCTTTCCACGTAATAAATCTTCGGCATTATGCAACTACCTTTTATGCAAAAATTCTTCCTTATCCAATTCTAACATACACTGTTTTCTGGAATCTCGACCTGTAATTGTATTCTCCTGGAAATAAGGATCCCAAGGTGGAAGTCTTCCAAGAGGTGGAATAAAACTTGCAATTTTCTGTTGTACATCATCTGGCAAAGGTGAAAGTATCTGGTTTGAGATTATGAAACATGAACTTCTGCTGAAAGGTTAAAAAAAAAGAATTATTTCATTTATATCACAGGTGTAAAAAGGTACTTAATGGTTCACATACTGTACATAACATTACACATACAAGTTCTTTAGTTAAAATGAGCTACAACTTCCCGTATTAGCCAACACATTTTAATGCATGCATAAAATTCTACTTAGGAATGTTCTAGCACAAGATATCTGGAAAACATCAGTTTGCGAGTGTCCCATTAAGCTGTTCTGATACTAACTTTCTCAAAAAGAAGGAGTGATAACCTACCATATAAATACTTGGCTTAAAAATGTAAGTTTATTAAACAAAATGTTCAACGAAAGTTGAATTAATCCAATTATTTATAATTTTGAAGGATTTGATAATTTCCTTTTGGTTGATCTGTTTGAATGATGGAGTGAAAAAGTTGGAAATGAAATTTTAGATATTAAGGGTAATACGGTTATACCATTGGAACTTGGGTGCATACCTATTCTTCCACAGTCTTACTTCTCTGGTAGTGTAATAACTAATAAACTTAAGCAATGATTTTCACAACTACTCTTAACTTAAGTTTAACATACCGATAGTAACTACCTAACAATCTAACTAATAATTTGGTCTTGAGTAACCATACAAATAGTGCAGATGCAGATTTAGAAAAACAGGTCTTGAAAATTATCATGAATAATTGTGCTTTATCTTAACTTTTTTTTATTTAACAAAAATTGGGAAATGGCACACAAGAAAAAAAAAAGTTAAATATGTCAGTCAGTGCACCAAAATTGAAACAATACAATTACCAAACATAAGATTAATCTTAATCCTTATGACCTAATTTATTAACATTATAATATCATTATTAGTATCCACACGTATCAAACTGTCAATATCATTATCATATTCATAATATCAATATCACAACTCAGTGATATCATTCTTCTCATTATATTAGTTATAATATTATTATTATTTAAAAATACAATGTATTTTACTAATATTAAGAATAAAATGTACAAATGAATATCTTTTTTATCGGATGTCGTTAACAGTTGCATACATTATGCGTAATCATAACCTAAGTACAACCAATTATCTGATCTTCTACTCACATGCTACTTTCATATTTCGTACCATCTTCTAAATATACAATATTTTCGTCCATCTTTCCTGAAGACAGTGGCGTTAGCGTCACCAATCTGTGATTAAAAATAAAATCTATAAAAGTTCGGTATGAACTTCAAGCACATCGTTAATTAAAGTTAGCTTCTTTGTAAAATTATCAGACTGTAGTACGCATAATAATTATTTTTGTATTGGAAAAATAAGAATCAGGATTTCTGAAACACAGTACTCACTGCCTTGTACCATTACGAATGAGTTTTCTTTAAATTTTACATGTTATTTAAAAAAGAAAAAGAAAGAAGACAATTCCATGCTAGATCGCTAAGAATTTATTATCGATGTAAGTATTCTTTCTACATTTTTAAACAATGAGTATCTCATACAACAGAGAGCAACGTGATATTTGTATAAGCGTTTTGACATTTGTGCTGGCCGGATCAGTATTTAGTTCGCAACCTGGGAGGGTCAGGTGCAATTTAGAACTCTTCCTTCCTCCTTTACTGTATTCTATTGAAAAATTCACGAAATCAAGGCTAAAGACGCACGATTTTTAACACTGTTTCTACTTACCTTATCAGGTTCATGTCCCCGAATGTAATACAGTAGCATTTAGTGCTTCATTACCACTTTGCTTCATTTGGTTGTATATAATACTTCTCAAAAGGTTCACTGGTAATTTATCACTTTTCAGAAGATTAATATATTAAATGCGCATTTCACATGAAACATCTTATATAATACTTCAGGTAATGCAGTAAGTTTTTACGCTTTGACACTAATCACATATAACAATTTCATTTAGAAGACGTGTTTCAGTGTTTTTTTTATACATGAGTGTTTATACTTGTGTTTTCGTACCTCTAAAATTATGAATGCCATTTATCTATTAAACTTCAAGAATAGCACAAAATAACTTTCTATCTTGTAACATTAAAACAAATTAGCTTTTACTATTATTAGGTAACAAAATTTTCAAACATATCAGCACAAGAAGATCGATGATAGAAAACGTACGTCGCCTGATGGAATTTTATTAGATAAGCTCGCAACAATTCTTATTTATTGTTATTTTATGGCAATATAATTCTTTTTAAACAAACAAAAAGCAAAAAACTTAAATAGGCCAGTTAAATAAGTGACTTTCTAAATTTCTAGGACAGTCGTACAAAGACTTTTCTTCAATTGCTTTGCAATAGGCTGGCATTCAGTGACATTGATTCCATTGCAAATTCTTGATGAACAATGACACAGACATTCACATTTTTCTTTTTGACCTATTGTGTCCAACAATTTTAATTATTTATAAAAAATAACATTTCTTGGCCACACTTTGCGATTGATTTTATTTCCTTTAAATATTTACAAATTATTGGTGAGTTGTATGGTTGTCTATAATATATATATAATAATAATGTACTGTTTTTTGGTTTTTTTTCGCAAAATGATTATTGAAATTAACACTGCTGTAAACTAAATATTCAATACTTTAATTTAAATGTTTATTTGCTAAAGGGAGCTTTTTTATGATATTATGATAATGAAATATCTAGAAGTCCCGGGATGGCCAGGTGGTTAGGGCGATCGACTCGCAATCTGCGGATCGCGGGTTCGAATCCCCGTCTCACCAAACATGCTCACCCTTTCTGCCGTGGGGGCATTATAATGTGACGGTCAATCCCACTATTCGTTGGTAAACGAGTAACCCAAATGTGGGCTCTAATCTTTCACTGCTAAATTGTGGATGGGTAGTGCAGATAGCCTTCGTGTAGCTTTGCACGAAATTCAAAACATCTAGAAACTTCATGAAAGCTAAGGTATCAATAGAACCTAGAAGTTTTCTATACTATGTAGTAATAAAGAGTACAATATCAAAATGACTCAATGAGTAAAGATAATTAAAATCAGTTCAGTGACTGAGATATTCCTTAGTGATCGATTTAGTAATCAGAATATTTGTTTTGGATCAGTTAGAAAGGAAATTTCGCAAGTAAGTTTATATGTACACGGGCTGCTCTATGGTCTAATCAGTAATCCTAAAAACACTTGACATTTAATAATAGGTAGATAAACAAAGATTTATAAGCATAAGGAATAGTTTTATTGATAGTGGAACATACTACATATTTCGATAGAACATTGGCTTGTTTACTAAAGAAGATAGACCAATATTATTGTTAGGTATACACGACTGTTTCCGTTTAAGTTTAATGCAAGAGTTATGATTTAAATAATTATATAGCGCGATTGTTAATTTTAGTTATTTTTAGAAGTGATAATTTATTGTAGGTTTGTTTACATAACTGTTTACGAATCATACATTGTGTAGTTCAATAGTTATGACTTGGTGATTGATATATTATATCGTTATATTACTAGAACCTTCTGAGTTTTTCTCGTTGTTTTAATTGAGTATTATTACATCATAATATCTACTAGTGTGTGGAACGCTCTAGACCTCCGTCGGGGTATAAATACGCATCAAAAGGTTAGTTTGATAGTTAGATAGGTCTAGACTGTGTGATTGTGAGTTTAGCTATAAAGAGCTTATAGTGGCGATTTTTAAAGTAAAATTATCATAGATTATATTGTAATAACAGAGTAGAGAAGAATAAGTCGTCTTGTCAAATTGTGTTTTAAAGTAACTGTACCAGCCTATGTGGACTTTACTAAAAAGAAACAATTGTTTAAAGCTCTGGGTATAACTGTGGTAATCAAAAGTGTAACGAATATTTGTATATACATTTGACTTTTTGACATTTTAAAACAAGATGTACTTTCGCAGGATCCCTGAAAGTGTTATATTTCAAGAGTAAATAAAACCGAAATTAAGAGTAAAGAATACTTTTATTTCTTGCTTTTGAAGTTAACATATCATGCTGTGTTGTAGCCTACAGAATGCATAATTCTTCTTGTGATTCATGACAAGCAAAGTAAAATGTCCAGGTTTTGATATTTCATTTTATGTAAAAGTTTAAGTCTTTGTCTGTTAATTTTGTGCTTGTCATAATTCGTTTCCAGCATTTTCCACACTGGTAACAAATTTCAGATGTTAGGTGTTACTTGAGTAAAGAAGCACATTATGCTAAATTCCCCCAAAAGGGGCAAGGCCGCCTGGAAGAGTCACCTGTTTTAACCACTTGCACCATTATACAGTAGTGTGTTGTCTATCAGTCAGTCAGTAGGCACTAAAATGGCGTTGCATAAGGGACGCTAAACGTTGCAATTTGTACTGTCATGACGTCAGTTGAATGTGCGCTGTATAATAGCTTTGATTGTACTTTTTATCATGTTTATTATGTTCGTGTAATTGTTTGATCTTAATTATTTTTAAACATCAGAGTGTATGAAATATTGATATTGTTATAGATACTCATTAATCCTAAATTATATATCCTTACCTTATGTCTTTTCATATAAGAATATTCCTGTAGTTTTTAAACATGCATAATATGACACAAAAAGATTATCACGAACGAAAATATTGTAAAAGCAAACTATAAAAATCCCAGGTTTGTAGCTTGTTTCAAAGTTTCTGAAACTTCTTATCATAATCCATTGTAGATCCTGGTATGGCCTGGTACTCGATTCGCAATATGTGGGTCGCGAGTTCGAGTCCCCTTACTGAACATGCTCGCCCTTTCAGTCGTGGAGGCTTTATAATGTGTCAATCACTCCCAATTTTCTCTGGTAAAGAGTAGCCCAAGAGCTGATGATGAGCAGTGTATGCTACTTTTAAATTATGGATGTATAGGGCAGATAGCCTCCAAGCTCTTGTGCGAAATCCAACAAACAAATATAACAAGACTCCTTTGTTCTCCAATATAAGAATTTTGGCTATCTACTTGATGAGAAATCATACATTACTGCTTACACACGTGTTACATATTTTACAGTGACATAGTTTGACAAAAATTTATTATCCAATCACGCTCAGTCATTGGTTCTATCTTGTTTGTAGGCAAGTTTTATAAGTAATATCGGATCCACTTACTGTGGTGTTATAAACTTCTCTCAATACAAGTTTCTCGAAATATACATTGAGAGAAAAGTAAAAGTCAGGTGAGAAACAAAATCTTGGATAAGTCTTTTTGTGAGAATGCTACTATCTGGGTAAATCTAAACTTATACTTTGAAATGGACAAATAAATTATAAAATAATGCGTAAGAGATTAATGTTCAAACGTTTAAAAACATTTCTTTGCAGATTACATTTCATACATTTTACAAAATTTTCATATAGTTACAAAATATAAATTCTTAGATAATTTATAATGTAAAATGTTATATTAGAGTTAAAATAGGTTTAAGTAAAGTACAAAACTAGTTTGATATAGTTAATTTGCTTGTTGAATGACATGCAAAGTTACACGAAAGCTATCTGCATTAGCTGTAACTAATTCAACATCACACACCACCAACTCTTGAGCTACTCTTGTCAGACTCAAAAGTGCGAGTTGATTATAATGCTTTTAATGGACCCCTTGCCCCAGTGTATGAGCACGGTTTTTTATATTTAACAGAAGCACACCACAGAACTCAGACATCACAGTTTGGCATGCTAAGAACAATGCTGCTCCCAGTTCTACAGAAAGAAAACATTGTACAGATTTTTGTCATGTGCAACTCAACAGTTATATTTGTGACTTTAAAACAATATACATATAAATTCATTTCAAGTCTTAAAAACAAAAACAAAACATTTGGCTGAAATATGCTTATGATAAATCCCTCTGACGATTAACAGTAAGCTTCAGGGCTTATGATATTGTTACGCCTCCGTTCGTTAGTTAATTTTTCGTAAATTCGTTCAGACGAAACTTTAGCGACACAAATCCTTTCTTAAATAAAACTGGTTTATTCTTTCTGAATATAACTTTGCGATACACTTAATTTCAACAGTCGCGCTATAACAAACGCTATAATTCTCAACGAACGTCTCACGTGCTCGACTCAACAATACTCAGTTCAATTACACACATTGTTGCCGTCACTTTGTGATCGTCTTATATATACAAGACTACCCCAATCTAGTAGTCTCCCAACAATTCACGAAGGTTCGAGAAGGACGTGGCGT